TGACAGTGCAAATATTTGTAATAAAAATAATAATATAAACTGAGCACTGTACACTTTGTATTCTGTGTTGTAATAGAAATCAATATATTTGAAATGTAGAAAAAATCCAAAAATATTTAATAAATTTCAGTTGGTATTCTATTGTTTAACAGTGCAATTCATTGTGTTCAAATTTTTTAATCGTAGTAAATTTTTTTAGTTAATCACATGAGTTAACTGCGATTTATTGACAGCCCTACTAATTTAACTAAGCACTTAATGTCTAAAAAATTAAATTTTAAAATATACATCTATTATATTAAGATATTTTATGTTCATAGCCAAGTTGTAAGTGAAAATAATGGCATTGCCCTTTTTCATACTCTTACTGAGGGAAAGGAGGAATAGAGAATTTATAGCAACATTGTGTACTACTGGTATTTTACATATTTAAATATTCTTATGTAAGGTCACCAAAGCAGTTTGAGTTTGCAAGATCCATTTATACCACAATTGAGTGGAGTATATTATTGACTGTTTTTTTGTATTGATTTCAGATAGAGACAGGAACATAAGACTTCTTAGAAGTCTTCATCTCCATTGACTTAAACTGATTTCTTGTACTAACCAGCTGCAGTGAAAAAAAAAAATCCCAAGTATCAGTATGTTAGCTGAAATTAGGGCAACAAGTTTATAGACAAATGTTATGGGGTTTTTTTAGCTTCCCTAAAGGCACATATATGGTGATAATTAAGACTTTTTTGAGCAGCATTGAAAAGCATCAAAGCCTTATTTGCACCATAAAGCATTAGTTCAAAAAAATGTTTCTACCTGTTGTGGTATAAATGGCCTTAAAAATATTTTTCTGTGGCTGAAAAAAGTCAAAACTGCTAAATATTTTACTTTGGGTTATGAAGATCTGTATCATTAGCCGCAAAAGAAAAAAAAAACTGTGTTTCGTGGTGTACAAAACATGAATGTATCTTTCAGACCTAATGACCTATACGTGTTTAGTGTTATGACTGTTGGATTTTATGGATAATTATTTTCATACCATTTGTTTAAAATAAAAGTTGGCGTGGAAGGGGAAGAAAAGGAAAAAAATGTAAAAAAATTTGTAACGCTTCCATGATACTAATGCAGTTTTTCTTTAAATCACATGGTTTTTGTTGTAAATAACAGCAATATTATGACAGTTCGTGCCAATGTATGATGTTTCAGATTCTTTTTGTTTCGTTTTGGCTTCCTGATTGAAAACTGCAACTGCCATTTATTATTTCAAGTATCTTTGCTGAAGGGTTTTCTTTTAAATGCAGAAATTTGGAGCTCTTGACTTTTTTGAGTGTTTGGAGGGAAGGAGCATGATTTTTTGTTTTTGCTAAATATGAAGTAATGTACAGGTAACTTATTATGAAGCATACACAGATGTCAGCCAATCACTCTGAGAAGTAACTTTCGGTAAGCCAGCTAAATGTGTTTTATCAGCACTCAGTTATATTGCATTTGGAGATATTTGGTTCTCAAATAGTACAATATTCTTAAGCAATAAAACTTACTACTTTTATACTCTTTATTCCAAAATATTCTACCCCAGTCACTAGTAAAAAAAAATCTAGATTATTCAGGCAACTACAGTTAGCACTGGCTCATGTTTCTTCCCGGTTTCCACAAATTACAATTTGAAATTATTGTATTTTCCATGTCTCCTCCAGCAACAACATTTCTTTAGGATAGCCTCTTAGTCATTCTGCCATCTTCTATCATAAAAACATTGAAAAAGCAGTTGAAGAGACCAAGAGAAGGTCTGCTGTGGAACCATGTAACTGGCACCTTCCCATGGAAAGTAAGCAGATAACTTTGCAGAACCCAAAGGAAGGCAAAAATGCAGCTGAACTGCTGCAGTTCCAACATGCAGGGAGACAGAAAGCAGAGAAGGTCATGCACGAAGATTCTGCAGCCCCCTACATGTGGTGGAGCAGAATTGCATGGTGTTCCAGGTATTACCTTATGTATGAGGTGTGGGAGGTGTTCAGTGGTGAAAGGAAATTGCAAGGGCGTGGCCTGTAGGTCAGCAAACTGTATAGATCCAACATCCACAAACCTTCAGGTAGGGAGTAGGAGAGCCAGCAGACCTGCTCTGCAGGTGCCCCATGCCTTGTTTCTGGGGAGGATTCTGGTCTCACATTCAAATTTGGCTTACTCAAAACTTTGTATAAGTCACCAGAATTTTATCGCCTAAAGTCACCTGTGACCAAACATTTATAATCTCACATGCATCACAAATTCCAGATCTCTGGTTTGCTATGCATTATACAGCATCAGAACAGCGATGTCAGCTTATCTGTGGCTTGCTAATTCCAGTACCCTACTTTCCTTTAAAACATGTAAAACCATTATTTTAAAATAGAAAACCTTTTTAAACAGTAAAGGAGTGTTCCTTTTTTTTTTTTTTTCTCCATTGCACATGCCATAGATCATTGCTGGGGTCCAATGCCAAAATTCAATAAACGTATCCACTCTGTAAAGGAGTGTCTCATTTCATTTGTTAAAAGTTGCAAAGATAAGTATATTAATGGTGATAGGGAAGGTGCTAGGAGAGGAAAGTGATTTTTTTTGCTTTAATAAACCTATTTTATCCTATCTATATTGTCGCACTATAATTAGAAACCAAAGCTGAAATTGTTGGGTTATCAGCCTGCAGAGGAGAGGTGGCTAGTTAGATGAAACATGTCAAATTGACCCCTATGCAGAGCTGGCACAGACCTATGCACCCCTTCAGAGGACTTTTCCAACATAAGTGTTTAATGGGTGCATAGGCTATAAGCTGACCCTTTGCAGGTTGGTGAATTTCACTCATTGTGATGTGAGTTGAGAGAAATTGGGGAGGAATGAATCATTGCGTTCTTTTAAAAACATTACTCTTGGATAAGTTGACACTTCATCACCTTAAAGTCAAATGTTCTGGTTATTTGCTTTTTTGGGGCTAGATGTTGAAAGAACACAAAATAACCAAAATACATCATTCTGTGGTATTCCTCAGCATTAGTTCTTGCTTCACAGACCTTGGTTGACAATTTTGTTCGTTGCATTATTTCATATTTAGCAAGTTTTAATATTTTAAGGTTCATTTTTTCTAAGTTTCTTGAATTTCAAATAGCACTTTATCTCATGCTTTTACTACTGACTTAACTATTGGACAAAATAAATTGTTATGGGCTTGGAGAGAGATACTTAACTGATTTCTGTACAGAGTTGATTTGGATCGCACCCTGGTACAAATGCTTTACAGTTTTCTAACCGTTTTTGGCTTACTTCATATGTCCCTGACACCGTCAAATAAGAAGTCTTGACAATTTTTAATCTCCATTTTACTGTGTTATAATAATTTTAAAGTCTGGTACTAAAAACAAGGTGCAAACATAAACTACAGGGTACTCTTGAATTCATCTCTGTGTTCTCTCTCAGCTAGCTACAAATAAGCTATGTTTACTGAAGTATGTCGCTTAGCATTATTTTAACATTAGGTAAATAACCTGAAAATCAGGTAATTCTTTTTTGTACTTGTGTTATAACTTATTTTGAGTTTTGATAACTAAAGATAAGTAGATAATGCACAATAGTAAGTTTTTAAAAAGTTGTAATCCTTTTACTCCGAGGCAGAGTCTTGAAACACAAGTGAAGGGATTAACACAGTTTACAATAAGCTGTTTTGTTCTCTCTTTATTAATTAGAATATATCCACAACTAGCCCAGTGCAATTATCTCAGTATATTATGGCTCCACAGTAACAATCCATATCATCTTAACAAATAAGAAAAACTAGACTTTAATTTCCTATTATGTAGATGTAACTTTATTTCAGGTAGCTCACTTATCAGTGATCTAGTTTTAACTAGTGAATTTGGCAAAGCTATTCTTGTGTGTTTTTCTGTAATAGGTGCTATACTATATGTGAAAATACAAACGGGGGAAAATCTTGTCTGGGTCATATTCACAATCATCGGTGGCAGTATTTATTTGCAAGTCACTTATGGGTAATAAGTTTGCATTTTCTGCTGCAGCTTTGCATATGTCTGATTTCAATTGGGTTTCATACTGCTTAGTGAGTGTCTATGAATGTGTAAGTAGATCATCCCCCAAGGTTAAATAGCTCCTTTGTTATTTAGCCCAATTCTATTAAAATCTTTCTGTTAAAGTTAAAATATGCTCTTCCCTTAAGTAGGTTTTTGCCTATGAATTTGTACAATTGCTCGTCAGATAAACCTATTCAGAAAACACATCGTCTAGGTTGCTCAGTTGAAAAATAAACTTGAATTTGGTCAACACTGGACAATGTGAAAAGAAATTCAGCTTTTGTCACTGCAGCTACTGTATACTTCAAAGAGCCTTATGTGTCCTCATTCTGGTAAAATGAAAGTTCTTGCGATTAATATGGTACACTAACATTCTACAGAATACCAGCAGCTCCCAAGATAAATATGCTAGTTAACATTTAAGAAGTCTTGTTTTAGTCTTAAGAACAATTTCATTCTATTATGTGAAATAAATGCTGTTATACATATTTTGTGGATATATTTAATTTCAATTGGCAAATGGTTGTCTAGGTGCAAACTTGAAAAAATATATAGTTTACTTGTGAATCTTAATTGTTTAATTGCAAAATAAAGATGTGCTTTAGTAATTTAAAGTTTAATTTCTGGGAGATTTTCTACCTGCTGTATACTTGGTTTTGTCATGCCATTCCTGCATAAATTCTGTATTTTTAACATTATATAGTATTACCATAAATACAGCTCTGCTTTGCTGTAGGTGAGGGTTTTTGTGTGTGTGAACTGAATGCTAGTTAAAAGATGCTAAATTAACAAGTGACATTTTCTATCTATAGAACAAGTAGGGTATGAGCTGTGGAAGCACAAGTTTCTTCCATGCTTTCCTGACAGTGAACCTCAGCTTTACACTAGAGAGAACCACACCTCTGCCATTATTAATCCTTTATATAGTTATATTTTTGTGTTTTTCAGAATAAAACAGTCGGTGCTCCATCAAGCTTACAGCCTGATAGACAAAATTTGGGATGGTGTAGAGATTATTGATGGGAAGAATGACAGTTCCTGGTAGAAGTTTGTGATGAAGTGGACAAAAAGTGGGAGACTGTTCCAGGCAAATTGGTCGATATGAATGAAGGTGCAAAGCCAAGAGCAAGTGAAAAAGATGAAAGGATCTATAACAGAAAAGGACTGGGAGGAGTTTTCTGAGCAGGACGACGGACTAGGGAAAAATGAGAACAGCACCTTAGCACAGTGAGATTGATTAGGGAAGTTGGAGTTGGATCTGATGTAGTAAAGAAACACTGCTGGAGGCATTCAATGAAGGGGGGAGTGGCAAGAGATAATTTTAAATAGCAATATTTTGTTTAAACTGGAATAGGGAGAGATGAATGAGAAGGCTGGATAGGAGGAAGAGTAATCGCAGTTGAACTCATGGACAAAGGGTTTGAGCATTGAATATAGTGAGGAAAGCAGATTTTAATTATATGTGAGATTAATAAGTCATGAGTTAGCAAGAGGCTGCATATGGGAGAGGAGAGAATTTAAATGTCACTGATATTACAAGGCTGGAAGGTAAGAACAGTAGCATTTGTCACTGGTGATGGAGAATGGACATTGTGAGAGGGATTAGGTGGAAAAGCATTCAGTCTTGGGAGCGACTGAATGGGGCCTTGTGGTAGGAGGTCATTGTCCATAATGCTTCAATCTTTGTCTTCTGTGAGGTCTGGCATACCAATGAGTGCAAATACAGTGGCAGTTGTGTGGTGTGGACACCTGTCCACTAGAAAGTGAGCTGAAAGCATTGTGTTTTTGCAAAGATGATGCATCAACTGACCTGCACTTATGATCTGGGAACTGCAAAGAAAAGTGAAGTTGATTAGTTTCTAAAGGTATTGGGTTTCCCCTTTTCCTCCAGTACAAGTTTTCAAAATGTGCATGTATTTCCTGATAGTGTACTGTGAGCAAGCAGGCATCCCTTTCACTCAGTACAGAATGCATAAACTGAATTAGCATCCAGAATGCATCCCCTTTCTGGGATTTGCCTTCATTACTCAAATAAGATATAAACGTCAATCTAAGCTTCCTCCTGTGCTTGCTTTGTTCCTAGCGTTTCCACCTGAAGGTCGCTTCTGTCCTAGCATCTAGCTCCCTGTCTCCAGAGAGACATGCCCAAAAACCTATCCCAGTGTCCTTACAAGACACTGTGTCTCATCAGAAATTACTTTGTAACTTTATACACTTTTCTAACAACCGTGGCATGAAGACAAGTCAACAGAAGAGCTTTGTTTTGGGCGGTGGTTCCTATGTATATTCCACTGTGGGTGCACATGTGTTCCATGCACCTAAGACCAGAAGATTCTTGCTAGTAGTGTCCGTTGGCCTGTGCCTGTACCCCTCTCCTCATGCTCCAAATCAAAAGCGTACTGCACAGCATGGACCAACCGTCTCTCTATTTCTGTTCTACCACCTATGGTCTGAGATGGAATTTTTTCAGTGTCCGCAGCGCTGGCATAGCTTCCTCTGTGTCTAATTATAAACAGTGTTTAGATCAGTTTTTATAGTTAAGTGTAGTTTTTAGGAGTCAGGGCTGGGGAGCCTTCCTGTACCTCCATATGAGGTGATTAGGATGTCCAGGATCCCAGGATTCAAGAACTGCATCTCCTGCTCTCTGGCCTTCCTAGTCAGCGACAACCACCTCTACTCACATCCCATTGAAGTGTGGCACTTGAGATCCTTCTCTAGATTGGAATCTCCTGAACCTGCTCCATCAATGGATACTTCAAGGCTTGTGCAGTCCTGTCCTCAGCAACCTCCTTGGTATGACCAATCCTGAATTCCTCCCCCGCTTCCTTATGAACATCCTCCCACTGGCCATATTGGTACCCTTGGGCTGTATACTGCCAACAGTTTTCCACGGTACCTAGTGCTCTTAGGGAATGCCATGGACAGCACTCCCAGATTCCCTCTGTTCCCCCACAGCAATTTCCATTGCAAGAGGAGCAAGAAGCAAGGACTGATAAGGAGGCTTCTCCTCAGATGAATATTTCATCATCCTCTCTGAATGGAGTAATTATGTCCCTTCCTTCTACTGTTAGATTATGTCAAACAATTTCAGAACTTGATGAAAAGGGCAGCAGATACTTTTCAAATACTGTCTGAAGACGACCAAGAGACGGCCTAAGTTGTTGAATGTTCTTCATGTACCGTCTTTTGCACAGGTGGTGCTTTCTGTAAATGAGGTGGTATTAGAATCCGCAAAGACAATTTGGCTGACTCCTGCCACTGATCCCCCTCCCCCAACAGCTAAGAGAGCAGAGAAAAAGTATGTTCTGGCTAAGGACTCAGAATTTTTATTTTCCATCCAACCCCTAACTCCTTGGTCATGGATCCAGTAAATGAATGCAACAGGCAATACCATTGCAAGGTTACACAGTTTGATAAGGACTTTTGGTCCCTTGATCTCTTTGGTCATAAAAGTTACTCACCTGCCACCCTGCAGTTCAGAATTACTGATCATCAGGTGATTCTTGCAAAAGGATAACTGCATTAACTATTCAAAATGTAAAGCATAGGGAGCAATTTTAGGCCCTCATTGCAGAGGGACATCTTCTAGTGAGGACAGCTTTACAAGCTTCTCTCAATGCAGCTGACGCTCCATCTCCACAGCTGTGGTCATGCATTAAGTTTCTTGGTTGCAGGACTCTGGTGAAATCCAAAACACCACAGAGAACCTTGCCTTTGGTGGGCTTAAATTATTCAGCAAGTCCACGGATGAGTCCCTGCATTCTCTGAAGGATTCCAGGGTGACCATTCACTAGGCATAGATAGGCCTGCAAACAAGTCAGTTTCAGCCATTTCATAAATCCTGATCAGCTCAGTTTCCCAGCTACCAAAGGTGTTGGAGTCACTTAAAAATAAATTTATAATGCAGAGGGCAAACTACTGCAACCATTGCACCTGGATTCAACACAGCATACATCATCTACAAAGCATTCATGTTGATGCCTTAGTTGAGGGCCTCAAGCACCCCCATGACCTGGATCTGTTGCTGCACCATCCTTCCCCATCCTCCCACCCTTTGGGGATCATCTCTCCCATTTCTGCAACATATGGGAGCAGATGGTCTTTGAGGTTATAACATTGGGCTGTTCCATCCATTTTCACTCCATACTCCCCCATCCCTTTTCAGGGATCCATCTCAGAAACCTCTCCAGAGATGAGGTTTTCTCCCTCATCCACGTAGGAGCTGTGGAATCAGTCCCCAGTGAGTACAGAGGAAAGGGATTTTATTCCAAGTACTTCCTGGTTCCCAAAAAGACAGGTGGATGGAGGCCAATACTAGATTTCAGGATGCTGAATACCTTTGTCAGGGTACAGAGGTTCAAGATGGTAACATTGTAGCTATCATTCCATGCCTGGATCTGGAAGACTACTTGACCTTCAGGACACGTGCTTTGATGTCACAATATATCCCTATCACAAGAGATTCCTATGCTTTGTTGTAAGTCAGGACACTTATCAGTATCAAATCGTCCCTTTTGGACTCTCTACTGCCCTCAGAGTATTTACTTCTCAAGCATGTGGCAACATGTACCTTTGTCACACTATACACCCACTTACCACTGCTTTGTTTCCAAAACTGGCTCAGTTTTGCCCCCAACAGAGACACTCTGAACAAGTTGCTCTCTATCTCCAGCCATGTACCTGTCTCCCTCGACTGGTGAAAGAATCTAGACAAGGTGTGCTTAGGAGTTCCCATCAACCCCTCCCTCCCACTGTCACAGTAGTTTTGGATGCATCCCTCCTAAGGTGAGGAGTCCATTTACAGTACTACACTTATCCAGGGCAAATAGTCCACCCAGGATTCTACCCTTCATATCAACATTCTGGAGTGCAGAGCCGTAAGATAAGTTTGCCAGCACTTCCTTCCCATGATAGGTCAGTCCGTCTGCAAAATGAATGACAATAGTGCCTGCTACATACTACATAAATCGACAAAGGGGAATGAGATCCCATTTCCTCAGCTCAAAGGCAGGTGATGTATGGAACCGATGAGAAGCCCACCCCAGCAGATTATCACCAAATCAACAAGAAGTGATGCAATTTTAGACTCGGTTTTGGTAAGTAGTAAGGACATCACAGAATAGATAGTTGTAGGAAATTACCTTGGATTGAGTGATCACAAGTTGATTCAATTTAAATTAAGTGGAAGGATAATTAAAGGCAGGTCATCAAATATGGTTTTGTATTTCAAAAGGGCAGGTTTGGGGAAAGTAAGGGAATTAGATGAAGTCAGCTGTGCTGAAGAGCTCAAGGACTTAAATGTGGAAGATGCTTGGAATTTCCTTCAATTGACTATACAAAAACTATCTGAAGTTTGCATCCCAAGCAAGAGGGAAAAACTTGTAGGGAAAGGCTCCAGGTCCAGCTGAGGGAATAACTTATCACAAAAAGGTTATTAGGAGTAAGCAAAGAGGCTATAGGAAATGGAAAAAGGAATTGATCAGCAAAGAGAGCTCCCGTGTAGAGGTTAGAAAATATAGGAATAAAGTGAGAATTACTAAAAGTGAAGCTGAATTAACTCTTGCCAAGGAAATTAAAATGAATTAGAGGGGTTTTTTTTTAGAGAGAGTGAGAGAGAAAAATAGGGAAGGATGAGGCTGGGCCACTATGCAGTGTGGATGGGAAGGAAATGAAAGATAATCTAGGTATGGCCCAAAAACTAAATGAATACTTTGCCTCGGTGTTCACTAAGGATGATCATATGGAACATATGCATGAAAGCAAAAGGGCTGACGGAAATAGATGCCTAGACATGGAAATTGCCACATCTGAGGTGCAAGAAAAACTTAGAGCTTAATGCACTCTAATCAGGAGAACTGGATAATTTCCCAGGGTCTAATCATAAGAATTTCTGCTACAAACTGGGGACTCATCAGTGGAAATGACAGAGGAGAGAGACTTGGATGTGTGGGTTGATCAAAAGATGACTATGAGCCACCAATGTGATTCGGCTGAGTAAAAAACAAATGTGATTCTAGGATGTATCAGATGATGCATTTCCAGTAGGGATAAAGAAGTATTAATGCCACTGTGTAAAGCACTGGTAAAACCTCATTTGGAATACTGTGTTCAAGTCAGGTCACCCATGTTTAAAAAAAGATTTAATTTAAACTGGAAAAGGTGCAAAGAAGAGCTACTAGGATGATCGGGGAATGGAGGACCTGTCTTAGGAGACTGGAAGAACTAGGTTTGCTTAGTAGCGCAAAAAAAAAAAAAAAGGGTGAGAAGGGGTATGATTGCTGTTGATAAATACATCAGAAAGGTAAATAGCACGAAGGGATGATGAGCTATTTCAGCTGAAGGACAATGTTGACACAACAAATGGATATAAACTGGCCGTGAACAAATTCAGGTTGGAAATTAGAAGAAGTTTCTATAACTGGGTTGTTTGTGATGGTAGCGGGCAGGGCTCAGCCACCCTGGGGCCCACTTCTGGTTTCTGTCTTACAGTTGTAAAAACTTATGCTTCGGAATTTCAGTTGGCCACTAGCAGGAGTCAGGAAACGATTTTCCCTTCTGCCAATGTATTTTGCTTTTGTTTTTAATGTCCTTCCTCTGAAGCATGGGGGATGATCACAACAGGAAATGGGACATGTTAGGATATAGATATTGAGACCTGTCTGTAAAGGCGTATACTCTAAGAATTTAGGTGTATTCTTATCACTTAGCTAGTTATAGAGGTATAAAAAGAATCAAAATCACTGTCTGCCGGTGTAAGGTCCTTCTCTTACTGTGACAGTCTGAGGCCCTGTTCTTAGGCTAAGGCCTTTGGCTAAGCAGCAGAGGGAGCCATAAGCTGGGAAGCGAACGGTCACATCCTCACATTCCAAACTAGTCACAATGACAGAAGGTGCTATTGGGCTGTTAGGAATACAGTCCTGTCCTGATAATGTCTATCGCCTCCAGAGAAAGGGAAGTGCCTAGAAAATGTAAAAGGAAACTTAGTTTGATAGCATCCTGCCTGGCAAGAACTCACTTATCAATAGCTGGGATGTAAAATCCTCACTTCTGTATTGTTTTGTCATTATAGTTCCCACTTTGCTATTGTTTATTTGCATGGTCTCTGGTTCTGTGATTGTTTCTGTCTGCTGTATAATTAATTTTGCTGGGTGTAAACTAATTAAGGTGGTGGGATATAATTGGTTACATAATCATGTTAAAATATGTTAGGATTGGTTAAATTTCAGGGAAATGGTTGGTTAAGGTATAGCTAAGCAGAACTCAAGTTTTACTATATAGTCTGCAGTCAATCAGGAAGTGAGTGGGTGTGGGGGGAATGGGAACAGGGAATGGGGGTGGGGAATTGGAATCATGTTTTGCTAAGGGAGGGAATGGGAACGGAATGGGGATGGGGAAATTGGAATCATGTTTTGCTCAGGCGGGGAATGGGAACAGGGACACAGGTGTAAGGCTCTGTGGTGTCAGAGCTGGGAAGGGGGACACTAAGGAAGGAAACTGGAATCATACTTGCTGGAAGTTCACCCCAATAAATATTGAATTGTTTGCACCTTTGGACTTTGGGTATTACTGCTCTCTGTTCATGCGAGAAGGACCAGGGAAGTAAGTGGGTGAAGGAATAAGCCCCCAACAGGACATTAGATGGGGTGTGCCAGGGCTCTGACATGGCACCAAGTGTTCTCTCTCTCGGGTGCTTGGCTGGCTGGTTCTTGTTTACTTGCTCAGGATCTAGTTGATCGTCATAATGTGGGGTCAGATTGGCAGTGAACTTCGATTTTTTGGGGGCCTTCCTCAGCAGTATGTGGGTATTGGTCACTTGCCAAGGTATATCTGGATATATATCATTTAATCTCTTCCCTACCATTGCAGGGGCCTCAGGTACACGTGCACCTTGGTCCCTCTTATTCTCCGTGGCACATAACAATCTAGTTTTCTTGGGGGCTGAAATACTTTGGTTCATTTTCAGTTGGGTTTAGTGTGAGAGTGCTGTGTGGTGATCGAGGCCTGTGATCTACAGGAGGTTAGACTCGATGATCTGGTGGTCCCTTCTGCTTTGAACTCTGAATCTGAACAGTTTATTTGCCTGGTCTTCAAAACAGTATAGCTAATGCCCTCCACATACATTTCACTCAGGATCGTGAGTTGGGATCTCAGCACATCCACACACAGATATTCCTTGCTCTGGGTTTTTTGTACAAAAACCTTTGGCCACCACTGCCAACAGAACTGTGCAAATTCCGCTTAAGAGATTCCTCAGGCGCCACTCCCTTGGGGATGCCTTTTTTCCTTTCCTGGATAAAGTGTCTCCTGTCTGCCTTCTCTCTAATGCTGCTAATCCTCAACAAAACCAGATGGGACAACACTACAATTATCTTGATTGCCTCAACCTCGCCGAGACAGGTGTGGTTTCCACATCTGCCTTGCCTCTCCTCCTGGCAGGCTAGAAATCTCCTGCTGGCTCCCAGCCTCCTCCTTCAGGACTCGGGAAACATTTGTCACCTCAGCCTGAACACTCTCTGGCTCAAGGCCTGGTACCTAAATGGCTCTTAGGTTAGAATTCTCCTGTTCTTCTTAGAGTGTATGTCCCTATGAGTGCTCCACTGAAGGATGTGCGGTGCCTGTGAACTCTCGATGGAGACTGTAAAGCAGTGTCCATCAGCCCATGCCTGGCAGAGCAGCAACTTGTACTCCCATATGAGGCCTGGGCATGCTGCCACTCAGTTCCTTCTAAACTACCTGATGGTTGAGTTGGAGGATTTGGTGTCTGCTGTTCTACAGTTTCCTGCCTTTTCATACTTACTATGAATTTTTTTCTCATTGAGTTATTTTTGTATTTTATTTAATTTCAGCACAGTAGTGCTTTAAAGGGGGGAGTCCCCTCTCCTTTTTCCAGGACTTCTGGTTTAGTGCTTGAGGTTCCGGGTTATGCCAAACACCCCAGGATTTAAACTGTCCCAGACCTGCCCCACAGGTCTTTTCTCTGTAGCGATGTGCATTCTAGCTGTCTCTAGTGTCTCAGAAACACCCATATACCATCAAAGTGCAAGGTCTGCTCAGGGTTCAAAGGCAGGTCTAGAAAGAACAGAGAGGCTTGGTTGAAGCTCCTCTTAAAGGAATGGTCCCGAACTCCATCAGGATCCACTTCTTCCCCTATATGTTGGCCTCTACATCTCAGGCTGCCCTGATGTCAGCTGGAGTTCCAGCAGCCACTCCAGAAGCTAAGGCTTCTGAGAAAAAGAAGCTTCTGTCCCCTACCAGGGAAACAGAACAGGGATAAGTCACCTATTAAAACTCACTTCCAGGAGACCTCATGTCCCTTGAGGGGTACAGCTAAGGCTCCAACTGAAATCTGTACCAAGGCGCTGGTACTGCATAAGAAGTTGCGTGAGGAGAAGTTCTCCACCCGCAGGGTGGTTTCTACTTCGGTACTGTCTAACACCTCTTGGCACCGTGATGTACACAGGCCTTCTCCCTGCACCCCAGTACTGTTGTCTCCCTGGAGCTCTGACGTCAGAGATTGCTGCCCAGTCGGCCTGTCTGGTATCACGTGCACCAGCTCTTCCTCAGCACCAATCCACATTCCCAGTTCCTGCACCAACTGAGGCTACGGCCGTAGGCTATCATAGCCCTCCGCCACCCTACAGATTCTGTTCCTTGGAGGACCTTCTTATTTTGGATGAACCGGAGTCTCGCCTAGTAAGGAGCTCCACCAAAGCCCCCTCTTCGGTACTGCTCTGACAGCTTCAACCTGCATGTAGGTTGGACTTCCATCCCTTGGTACCAACACCAATGGCCAATGCCCCCCTTTTAGTCCAGGGGATGATACTTCTGACTCTGAGGTCTCTGCACAGGGCTCTACCTCAGTACCGTATGATCACACCCTTCTGAGGTCAGTTTACTGAAGAGGACATTCCAAAGCCCACCAGGCACTGTAGACCTCAGGGATATGAATACCTTTAGTGACCCTTTCCCTACTCACCTCCTTCTCAGTGGGCCTACTGGAATTCCTGGGGGTGTCTATGATGATCAGTTTTACAGGGTACCAGCTAGAAAGAATCACACACTGGAACCTCATCAGTCACAGGCATCAACAGACCATCCTCCAGTGTCATATACCCCCATGGTACCAGGAGAAGCACAAGAAAAGCAAGAGCTTCAGATTGAAGGGAACCTCACCCCCATCTGTGAAGAATTCATTCTCCCCAGGTGAGGAAGTAATCCCACCATCACCCTCTTATCCATGTAAGCAGGGTCTGAATGAGCTCTCCCCTGACAGCTAGAGATGACAGTGTTTGCAGAGACATGTCTACTCTGCCTAGGTATGCAGCATGATAGAGCTGCTTTGCCAAAATGAGCACTTTTGGCTGGCGTTGCGTTACAAATCACTTTATTACTGAGTGCAAGGGTAATTAAATGTTATCCTTATTGTATGAGTAAAGGGTAGCAGAACTGTACTAAGCATGCCCTGATTGGGGGTAGAGATGCCAAATCGCAGTGAAAGAGAGAGGGCGTGGGGACAGGTGCTTGTACCTGGTGGAGTGGTATCTGCCCAAAGAGTCCCATTTGACCTTCCCATCGCCAGTGTTTAAAGCCGAGCAAGACTCCATTGAGAGTCATTGTTGCTATTCAGTGATTTACCACAGTGTAGAGGCTATGCCTTTGACCTGGTGTTGGGTCAGTGGTGAAAGCAAAGACGATGCAGAGGCTCTAGTGCTATTCTGCTACCCAGTGAAGTCGCTAAGAGCTGAAATCACTAAAGACCTGGGTTAAGCAGAGGAACCTCAGAACAGGGCATCGCGGAAGTGGCAGTGAGCGTCCCACAGCAGTAGGACGTGACCAGCAGCAGCAATCGATTAGCGGCAGAAGAGAAAAGCAGCAAAGGCAGCATCAAACAGCCAGTTGCAGGCGTCACAGTGGCCACGGAGAGAGTGCTCGATGCCCCCGGTCCCCTTTACTGGAGTTGGAGGTGAACCCCTGCAAACACACATCTGAACTCCAGGTCTTCGCTAACCAAGGACAGCCAACTGTGTGTGGGGTGCAGCGGAAGGAGAGGGGAGTGATGTGTTAAAGGGACATATGTTCATTAAACCTGCCCAACACAAGATGAGAAACTGAGGCAAAGGGCACTGTGGGGTCTGGATTTTGCTTATGGTTACATGCTTTTGAACATGGTTTTGGTCTTTTCCCAGACTAATGCATGGTTCATTTTCCCTTTTATTAAAAATTCTCTTTCATTATGCACAGACTCAGTGCTTATGAGAGGGGAAGTGTTGCCTCTTAGAAGTTCCCACGGTGGTAAGTTTTCCCAGATTACTGGGTTGGGACTTGAGCCAGTTCTGTTTTGTATTGTTAAGAGGAACGCCTAGCTATTGAACTCGGCCCTTGTTGCTGCCGACTCCACCTGGCAGGTTACATGCGGATGACTTTAGGGCCCTCCAGGACCTAACAAAATGTCTGATGGAATTCCTCCAGATGCCTCTAGAAGAGGTCCAGGAGTCCCAGTGTTCCCTGGTGGACCTTTTAAATACCACCCCGATGGAAAAATAACCCCACCAATTAATGAGGTACTGTTATCGCCTGCATGTACTTTGTGGCAAACACCCACCACTATTCTACCCACCTGCAAGTGAGCAGATAAAAAATATTGTAGTCCACCCAAGGAAATGGAGTACTATATCTCCCATTCTGCCCCTAATTCGCTGGTGGTAGATGCGGTTATTAAAAGGAACAGTCAACCTCGCTCCAGACAAGGAGTCCAAACGATTAGACCCCCCTGAGCGGGAAAAGCTTCTTATTGGCAGCTCTTCAATGTCAAGCTGCAAACTACCAGGCCTTAATTGACAAATATGATGTTAACAATTATTCTAAGTGGACACACTTTTTTGAACACCTGTCACAAGACCAAAAGGACGAATTTCAATCCCTCATCTCTGAGGGTCAGTTGATCATGAAAGCCTCCCTGCAGGTTGCTCTTTATGCTGCCGACACAGCTTCTTGATCCCTAGCCACTGCAGTAATCATGTGGCGAGCATCATAGTTCCAATCTTCTGGCCTCTTGAGAGAGGTGCAAGAATACTGTTGAAGAACCTCCCCTTTGAAAGAACCAAGCTCTTCAGCACAGATGCGGACTCTTAGCTCCACATCCTTAAGGATTCAAGGGCCATGCTACGGTCACTGGAAATTTGTCTGCAGCAAAAAGACGTTTTAGCAGGTCTTTAAGTACACAGCATTCCAGACCATTCTAGTGCCAGCCACATCAGGCCTTTCCTGGACGTTTGGAGCCTTTGATATGGAGATCTAAA